TCATTTTAACTTGACCTCTGACCTTCCAGCTAAGGTCACGTTCTGCAGTACTGGGGATTAGATTTTGACGTATCTTTTTTTGGAAAACACAGTTCAACCCCTAACTCTAACTCTCCATGCGTTCCAGCCCACCCCAGACTCTTACTGCTGGTAGTGCCTGTAGAGTCATATTGGGTTTGGAGTCAGGTGACGGACATCACAGGAAACCCACGGACTCTGAAGCTAGTCCAGGGCTGGTGTCCTCCCACGCTGGTCTGTGTACTCCCTGCTTCAGTGCCACCTGGAAAGCTTGTTGAGAAGGCAGATTCCAGGGTCCAGGGCCAGCCTATTGAGTCACAATCCCCATGACCCAAATGCCAGTATCTGTTATGTCCCAAGTCGGGGATATGTGAGGTCTGTTGTTGACAATGATTCCCATGCAAAATCAGGACCACAGGGCCCCCTATGAGACTGAGGCTGGTTGCTGCTGAATCGAGTAGCAAGTGAGCTAATCTCAAAAGATGCTTTAAAGTCCTTCCACAAGTCACTTAGGAAACCGGGTGATGTCATGGGTTAATCCACATTGTCTTTATCAATATTAAAATGAGTGTAGTCAATCTTTCGTTCCACTGGGATTATCCATGTCACAGTCCTATAAGCCCGATACCCCAGAGGGAGCCAGTTTAAGGCTGCTTCAGAGTCTTCTCTGCTTCTCTGATCTTCAAGGGAAAATGCCCGTCTTTCCCTTCCCATGGCACTCCATTCATATCTTGTGATACATTTACCATGTTGTTCTGTGACGATTTAGTGACATGTCTCTATCCCCCACTAGACTCCAAATGCCTTGAGGGCAGAGATGGGATGCATCCCTGTGTCCCACGCACTGAGCAGTGGTCCTGGAATACAGTAGGCACCCAACAACTGGTCTACCCTAGGACTGAGAGGGGGCCGCTTTGCCGACCAGCTTCCTCAGGGCCACCTTCATGTCCTTGTTCCTTAAACTGTAGATAAAGGGGTTCAGCATGGAGATGACCACCCCACACATCAGGGCAGCTGCCTTGTCCTTCTGGGAGGAGGCAGAAGATGCAGGCTGCAGGTACACTGCAAAGATGGTACCATAGAATAGTGACACCACGGTGAGGTGTGAGCTGCACGTGGAGAAGGCTTTCCACTTGCCCTGAGCAGAAGGGATCTTGAAGACTGCCCAGAAGATGCAGATATAAGAAAGGAGGATGCAGACGAGGGGGCTGATGCCCATGACGATGCCAAAAGCAAAGATCACCAGCTCGTTGGTGTGCGTGTCTGAGCAGGAGAGCTTCAGCAGGGGCATGAGGTCACAGAAAAAGTGAGGGATTTCAGAGCCAGCACAGAAGGTCAGTTGAGCCATGAGGCAGGTGTGCACGAGTGACTGGAGGTTGGTGATCAGCCACGGCCCTCCCACCAACAGCCCACACACACAGGGGCTCATGATGGCCAAGTAGC